TAGTTATAGTGCAATTTTCTAGTCATTTATCTCATAGAAGAACCACTATGCTAGAAATTTCAAACTTGACAGAAAGTCGTGAGAGTGAGAAATTTACCTTCAGGGCTTGGGCACTTAGAAGAACTCCAGCATAATTGTCCTTCAAATCATCCAATGCCAGTCTAATTGCTTTTTTAATAAGATTCTGATCACGTCGTGTCTTCAGCCTTCCTGATGGTATTGTAATCTTGACAGTATGTCAAGGAATAGGCATATGCATATAACATATGGCATATTTGGAAGGAACCAGAATGAAAAGCATGCATGGGGGAAGTTAACCATATCAAAGAAAATTAAGAATCGAATCCAAATATGGATATTGTTCATGGTAGTGGTGCAGGACAATATCAATTTGAACATAGGGGGGCAAGTTCTCCCATTCCACTAATGCAAAGCCACCCTGAACCACAACACTCCCAAAGCTCAAGCCATAACTTTTCCAGTCAATGCTAGTTAATGCCTTCAAAGAAGATTGAGGGATTGGGCAAGGTGAGAAATCTTTAAAATACAAAACCTGAAAATGAATATTTTCATCCAAGTTAAGAATAAACTTCAGAAAAGAAAACATGAATACGAGCATTAACAAAAACAAAACAATACACTTCCCCACTAAAAAACAAAAAGCAAAACAATGCATTTGTCACTTCTGTAATATTATTATCTTTTCCAGATGAGAACTAAAGAAAGCATACTTCTTAAATAAAAGTTTAAATTATCAGTAATGTTCTTAGACCTTACTTATAGCTTTATCTGATGACCATAACTTTATTTTAGGTTCCTTGCTATCATCATTAGTTTCAACATCAACAAGGTCAGTCCTATGCTTAAAGTCATTTGCACATGGTTTTGGCGATATTAACTTATCCCTTCACTGTGATGACGTACGAGTACCAGATAACATCATACCTCAAGACAATACAGATCACACCCAATCCAAAGTTGAAAGTTCTATAGAGGCAAATAAGTTGAGAAAGGAGTTCACCAATTGCCTTATAAAAATTCCATACATAAATAAACACATGTTGGATTGAACCAAAGCAAAATTCCAACAAAGACTGGAAGGGCAATCAGTTATGTAACTGCTGCCAATCACAAGGATTTTTAAGCATGCATCTGCAGGCTCACAAGTGACTGCTACATATTTTACGGTTAAAATAAAGTAAAAGGAATTGATAAACAGCAGAACAAAAATGATCAGACAAACCTCTGTTTTTGAGCCATGTGTCCTCGGGCAAGTACTGGCTACCTCTGATATTTCACTTATTACAATCACTGCTTCCATTACTGATCCAGAATACTTACGGCCTTCTGTACAACATGCTACTCCACTACCAACCTTGAGATGCTCCCTTACAAGAGTTTAAGTAGCAGTTAAGACTCAGAAAAGGAACTTTCAATTTCTGTGCCATGGAATCTCCAACCAGTTAATAAAACAGTTGCAGTCTGACGTATTCTACTAACGTTTCAGTCAATGGCAAGTTGAACCTAATAGAGAAGAAGAAGGCATGAACTTCATAGTAACTTACCAACTTGAGAAGCACAACTCACATTTTGTGCTTAATGTATTCCCATGCTTTAAAACATAATCTTCAAGCCCGGACTTTAAACGTTCAAGATTTGAGGCTGGAATAGACAAAGGATTGCATTCATTCGCTAGAAAAACATTTACGTATCTGGATCCAGGATCATGCCCATGTTCAACCACCAATTCAATTGCAACATTCTGGGGAAAAAAGAAACAATTTAAGTTGATTGATTAACTAGTGCTGCAGTCACCATTGCAGTTAGACACACTACTGTCCACATATTATATCAAGTAGATAAAACGTGCAAGGTTCCAAGTAAAACATGCAAGATTGCTGCAAAGTAGATTCCAAGTATTAACCGATACTTCAGCGGCACATTGTCAATAGCTTCTTACAACAATGTTTCAGTGAAATACAATATGATTGCTAACTTGAAAAGCTTTTGACACATAGAGCATTAATTTCTAAGTAGATCTCATCTTACAGGGACCTTTAGAATGAGGATCTTTTGAAAGAAGAGAGTAAACTCTGCCACCAAAACATCAATGCTTTCGATAATTGATAGACATACTTCTGTCCCACTGGAAACCCAAAAGAAAAAAACATGAAGAAATTTAGACCATAATTTTGAAAGATAAATAAATAAAAGAAAATATTCAGCAGCACAAAAGTGGAAGTGATTTGCATGCCTGAATTTGAGTCCATTCTTAGGATTTGAAGGTAGCCTGGTCAACCTCCTGGCAGACACATTTTCTTTTAGATTGAACTGGTAGTGATATATTTCATCATCAGCAATACCTGCAATTTTCGCAAGTTCAGCCTGTCAAAACCGAAAGTTCAAAACTCATCGTTTTAATCAAAACAAAGCATGGTGGTAATGCAACTGATGATGACTCACTGGTGGCTGTGACAAAAAGCAATCCATCTGCATCAAGAAGCTGCTATGTAAATTAAAACTGATATACAAAGCCGCTAGCCAGGCAGTTTGGTCAATTCACTCGAGTCTTCTACTTACCCCAAATCTGCGCGCCAAAAGCCTCCTTACGAAGCTTTACACCTCCAAACTCCTCCAAGCAGCTTCCCACACCCGTATCGGAAACTGCTCGTACGGAAACCAAGGACAACTTCGTCATTTTACTAATCACTCACATTGTTCGCCACATTTCTTTAGACTACACCGTTTCATTTCTAATATAAAAATCCGAATTCAGAATGAGAAGCGCACAGAGATACCTGAAATTAGAACAGAGTGGGGATCGGACTGTGGAGAGCGCTTGAGAATGACGGAGAGCCTGCAAAGGTCCTCCGAAGCATGGCATCGTTGAAATGCAGAAGAAATCAACTGTAATTGCATGTATATAAGTTTTTATATAAAAGAAAGAAAAAACACAATCGAATCGATCGAAATGCTATGGAGATTAGGTTGAGATTGAAACTCACATGCAGGCAGAGGTCTCGAACTGAAGCAATAATCATCTTTGTGTTTTTGGATTTTGGGAGAGAAATCGAAAATGAAACTCCCGCCGTCCCGTGCGAGAATGTAGCATGTATACATCCTCACTCGCCGTTCTATCTAAAGAAGCATGTTTTGAATTGTGGGCTTGGATGTGGGCCCAGTTTAATATTAATGGGCCTGCGTTTGAGCCCACCTGAATAAGACACGGACGTGGGCTGCTTGAAATTGTAACATTCTTGGGCCTATTCTTGGATCTCGTAACTAATATATTCTGATTCATTTGTACCGTCCGATTTGATCCAGAAAGGTTTAGACCGTGGATGCATTAAGATTGAAGCCAGCACTAAAAGTGGAAGTCAACTAACGAGTGCTGGACTCTGGACTTACCTATAAAGAAACTAGGTCAAATTGATTGAAGTCAACAAAACCATACAGATCAAATTGACCGAAGTCAACGACCCCAGATTTGAAAGAGGGTTAACAAGCTGAAATTTTGATCAGTAAATGGCACGTTTTAATAGCTTCAGTTAATATAAATAATTAATTAATAATGAGCAATAGGAAAATATAATATTACAATTTTGCATTTTAATTGGAATTTCGAATTTGGGTTGGGTGTAGTGGAAATCCAAAATAATGAAAAGCTCGTGGTGTTTTATGATGGGAGTATTTTTTGCTCATCACTTTAAAGCATCTCCAACCGATGTGTCAAAAGTGTCATATAGACTTCTTAATGGAAAGAGAGGATGGTGATGACTCATGAGTTAATAAGAAATTGTAAGATGAGCTATCAAAAGAGGCTAGTCCTAAATTGATTTAGTCTCTCTGCTGAAGTTGGTAATTTTTAGTTAATTTAATTTGCAATCCAATGCATGTAAAGAAGGGAATTGTGGAGTTGAGGCAGGGAATGGTGTCTAGAGTTGCGGCAGGGGGAATGATGGCTAGGGTTGCTAAGGGCGGTGGCTATAGAGAATAGAGCCTCAAGGGTGGGGGTGGGTCGACAATGGGGGAGAGAGAAAGAGAGAGTTTAAAAAATGTTATTTTATTATTATTTGATTTTATTTTTTGTTTTCAAATACTTTAAAGAATTAGAAAATAAAGAGCTAATTATGGCTATAGTCATAGACACGTGTCAAATTTTTAAGAGGATTGCGAGAGTACACATTGAGTTAAAATAATTAACAAAAACACTCATGTTTTATGATAATGTTGTAAAGAGAGAGAGCCAAGACAAAGAAATATAAATAGCTGGAAAACAATGGGATTGGAATATAAATATAAGCACTACTATTAATACACTTCTCTAGGTGTTGGTGGGAATCAAGCAACTAACCAATTATTGACTAGCATCTTATCACAAGTTCTATACATAATAATAACATGGATGATGTATCTTTTTTTTTTCTTCCTTTAACAAAGGTCAGGAAGATTACATGATTTATGATTTGGTAAGCAAGAGCATCTAAAATCGAGATATTAAAATGTTACGTGGAGCTTCAACGTTTTAATTTTAAAAAAAAAGCATCACAAATTTTTGTAATCAAACGGGCTATTCCTATGTGGATTTGTTAAAGACGCAAGTGCATCAATGTTTTTTTAGAATAATCGATAGTAACTACTGATGAAAAGATACAAATATAAAGTAATTACGGTGCCAAATATTCTTTAATGACAAAATGCAATAACAAATTGAATTCATCTGAAGTGATTACATATGAATATTGTTAGAACAATAAGTAGGAAAAAATATATATATATATATATATATATATCCAAATATACAAAGGGCTTTAAAATGAAGATGGTTCTGAACTTCCGATGCTGCCAAAACCTAATTAAAGCCTTCCGGTCAATAAATAGCATCTCTCATATGGGTGGAGTGGAGAGGACAAATTGATCTCCCATTGAAATGACACAACTACCCTCGACCAATACCCAAATACCCAATAGGAAGGCTTCAGGGCGAGGGTAGGTAGGTACCGAGGCCAACGAACCCTTCCCCCCCAGGAAAGTCAAAAGGCTAGAAATTTAACATCAACAGAGTGATCGAGAAAATCCAACGCATGGTATTGAAGTTCGGTGTGAAAGGACCACCAGCAGCAGCAGCCACCAAAAAAGCACAAACGTTTATAAAATGGCTCCAAGGCAGAGATGCAGCAGACTGCAGACCAACAAGTGCACAATTTGATTCGAGGTGCAGGAAAAGCTAAAGGAGAGAGAGGCCGAGCCAAAATGGATATTGTTGAAAGCAAACATATTTCAGAACCCATCAAATCGGAAGCTCAAATTTCCCATCTTGCTTTGGATATTGGAGGCAATTCACTCTGAATCTTCATAATCTTCTGGCCTCTGTTAGATTTCTGATTTCTTGAGTTCCATTTACTCATTTCTCCTCATTTTTCTGTTGTTTTCTTTTGTTTGTTGCCAGGCTCTCTGATAAAGTTGGTTTATTTCTCAACAAACAGTGATTCTTCTTCTTCTTCTTCAAAGGACAGTGTAGCAGTTTCTAGTGGCAATGAAGGCCGTCCTGTTCTTGAAGGGAAGCTCCATTTTGCGAAGTTTGAAACCGCCAAGATAAATGATTGCATAGACTTCATTCGGTCCAAGCAACTTCGCCATAGTGGTATGTTTCTTTCCTTTTTATCAAATTTGGGAATGTTTGCTCCGGGGATTAATTTTTACTGCTTGAGACTATTTGAGCTTGTTTTGTTCAACCAAGTAATGAGGTTGGAATCTTGGATTGAAACTAGCATTTTTTATTGGTTCACGAGCTTCTGAAGAAGTGTAAGCCATACTACTCTTCTGATTTGCTTAACAGCAGCTGACATTCATTGTGAAAATGCCCTCCATCCTTGTAAGTAAACGTTGGAGCATTGCAACTTCAACAAAAGTACCCTTATTTTTTATTGAGGAAATCAACCCAGTTGAAATTTCCTTAGTCTTGAAAGATTTCAGCTTCCAAAAACGAAATGTGAAAGAAGATGATATTTTCCCTGAATATGGCTGTTCATTCTCTCACACTCAGCTTCTTTCAGATGCACTGTAATTTTTGTTATCATTTCTGCTACTTCTGGGTGCTTATGGTTGTAGATTATTTCAGGCTTCCAGAAACATGGGGCTCCAGCCGGCGAGAAGTGCACTATTAAGGTAAAAATGATTTTTTACCTTGGCCGTACTATATGATTGTGGAATGTGCTTTTGGAGTATGCGAATGTATTAACTTGTGACAATGGTGAGAAGGCCACTGGTGGTGGGGCATACAAGTACACGGATCTCTTTAAGGAAAAGCTTGGGATTTGTCTTGACAAGGAAGATGAAATGGACTGTCTTGTGGCTGGATCAAATTTTTTGCTTAAGGTGGGATCCTAATACCACATACATAGATTGGTATGTACAAGTTGGTGCCTTTCTTAAGTCCTGTCATGTGTTGCATAGGATGTGTGGGTTGGGATTGGCAATAGCGTGCACAAGACGAGAGGAAGTAACTTTTTTTTGTTTCAGAAGGAAAAGAAATGTGGATGAGTCATAAAATGTGGAACTTGCAAAATTCAGCTACTTCTGTAGAGATATTTATGATTCTTTGGGATACTGAAATATATGGCTTATGTGCAATATAGATTCATTAAAAGAGTAAAAAAAAAAAAAAACAATCCCTTTGCACTGTTTCAGTTACAGAACTGGCGACAATATCATTGACATTCTTTTTTGCATTATGAGTTCCTTGCCTGACAATAACATTCACATTTTGATTGTTATTTAAGTAGGCAGTTCACACCGAAGCATTCACATACATGGATGGTCAGAAGGAATTTGTGCAGATTGACCATGATGATCTATATCCCTATATGCTTGTTAATATTGGTTCTGGTGTCAGTATGATCAAGGTATTCTCATAGTAAAAATCAGATGCTTTAGTTACTGAATTAGCTTCATATATTTAATTTTTAAAGGCTTGACAATGTCGTCTGTGTTATGCTTATATAGGTAGATGGACCTGGTAAGTTTGAGCGAGTAAGTGGAACCAATGTTGGTGGCGGCACCTTTTGGGGTTTGGGGAGGCTTTTAACAAAGTGCAAGAGGTATACGCTTTCTCTTGCTTATCTTTATAATTATTGATATTCTTGTTATATGATTTTCTTAAGAACCAAAGCTGTAATTGTGTCTCAGTTTTGACGAGTTGCTGGAGTTAAGTCATCGGGGAAATAATAGGGTGATAGACATGCTTGTTGGGGACATCTATGGTGGAATGGACTATACAAAGGTAAATGCATATTCTTGATAGACAGGTCCCTCTGTCGTTTAGTATGATGAATTATTTCTGGTTTTGGTATTTCTGTATGTCAAGTTAAAGGGTTCTTAAATTTAAAAGATAATGAGGGGCTTCTAGTTTCCATTAACTTTCATCTCATGTTTATTAACTGCAACCGTTACTTTCTGATGATCGTAGATTGGTCTTTCATCAACCACCATTGCTTCTAGCTTTGGCAAGGCAATTTCTGATAACAAGGAGCTGGAAGATTACAAACCTGAAGATATCTCTCGATCCCTCTTAAGAATGATTTCAAATAATATTGGACAGGTAAGTCATCACCTGTTTAAGGCATGGTGAAAAACAAATGACTTCCTTGCAATGAATAAAATTTCTTTAACTATTTGATTATGTCAACCTTTACCATAAGAGTTAATAACTGTTTTTGTCAGCATGCCTATCATATTGTTTCTTTATTTATCTTGTCTCCAGATCTCATACTTGAATGCACTGAGATTCGGGCTCAAGCGGATATTTTTTGCTGGATTTTTCATTCGGGGTCATGCTTACACCATGGACACGATTGCTGTTGCTGTTCATTTCTGGTAATCATGATGGATTTTCTTTTTCTTTTTCTTTTGCAAGCATCAGAACTGATTCATGTTCCGAATATAAGTATAAATTATCTAAAAAGAATCTTCAAAATATAAATTTGATCCCATGCATACAATGCCTTGTTGATGCCACAAAAATGGTCCTTTCTGGGTTGTGAGCAGATTTGCTCTTCCCATTCTGGCCTCAGGTTCAAATCACCAGGAAGGCCGTCATACTCTGCCTGATTTGGCTTTGTTTTTACTCTTCCATTTTTTCCCATGGTTTTGGGTTAAAATGTCATTCATTTGATCCTTCTTTGCAGGTCTAAAGGTGAAGCAAAAGCAATGTTCTTAAAACATGAAGGATTTCTTGGAGCTTTGGGTTCATTCATGAGCTATGAAAAGCATGGCTTTCTTAACTTGAAGGTCCACCAGTTGGTGCAACAATCTCCAGTGGATGCATCCCGTGGAGGAGATAAGATTCATGATCCACCAAACGGGGAATTGAATGAAAATCAAAGTATAGATTGCAGTATCTGCCTGTCATAAAAGTTTGCGTTAGATTTTCTCCTCCTGGAGTTTGGATACGAGAACTGAGAGGCAACTCTTGGTTGCCTTTCTAAAGTCTGAAACTCAATGACTCGAAACTTGCGTAGCATATGTAACATTGTCTATAAAATTACTAGGGACATGTTTGCAAAAGTGAAGAAAAATTCAGATGAAAGAGAGAGAACTCATATATTGTACACTGTAACTTATGTGTCGTAAACATCTGTCTAGATTTTGTAATTTGTATTTCTTTTCCAAAATATTGTAACTGCGCTTCATTATTCAATAAAATGAATTCCTGACTGTCATTGCAGGCTTTTATTTAATTTTAGCTTTTAAACTTTTTTCTTCTTCCGCTAACTGTGCCAGTGTGCAGCAATTTTCCTCTGGTTTTTATTTTTCCAGAATCAAGATTTATTCCACTTATTATGATTTTGGGATACAAATACTAAAAGAAAGAAAGCTGTCATTCGGTCATAGTCGCAGGCACACACGTCCTTGCCCATTGCACCCGTTACATGTATAAGTTCCAGAGAGATAAATGAGAACAAACACACATACAAACCATCTAATTTGATGTTTGCTGCAATTTATGACATCATCTTTCAAAGGAACGTTGATTTAGCAGATAGGTGGATACAACAAGAAGTTTTTGACAAACAAGAACACTATTCAACATACACGAGGATTGAATCCTTGATCTCATCCTCCACCCTCATCTAAAGGGAGAGGAGTCTCCACTGGGCTGAAGGGCCATTACACTTGACAGATACAAGAAATATTGATGGACCTTTTACATATCAACTTCCATAAATAGGGAATACAGATAAGGAGCTTGCATTAGTTACTAACTAAACACAAGTTGGATCATTTGGCAGTCGGTAGCCTCCGATGATATTGCTTTGCATTTCTCCTGCGCAGGGCCCATCTTTCTTTGATGTTAGATACATTATCAACCTGACTAAGTATTTCCTGCTCCTGAGACATTTCAAGCTCTTTATTAGACTTCTCAGGGTTTAATTCTCTTCGTATTCTGGCAGCTTCAGCAAGCAGATCATTTATCAGCATCTCGGTGGTCTTGCTGGTGATACCCCTTAGATACCAAGAAATGGGAGGGGGTGGAACAATAGCTGGCTGGATCAGTTGCTCCAAGCTGACCTTTGATCCAATCCTCCCTTTGCCTCCAGTGCATGAATGATAATCTGTCCATGTCTTGGGTTTGAAGGGAAAGCAGGTCTTTTCATCGACAAAAAGAGGTTCCACTCTCCAGCAGCCTTCAAATCTCTTCATAAACCCTGTTTTGACTTGCTTGAACTTCATCTGGCAAATGTCATTCTTAGATATTAGAGAACCGATTTTCCCATGGCATTACAGAGATCATTTATACTTAACCCAGTCATGTCCTACATTGGATATAAGAGCAAATTAGGTGGAGTAATGAATTACTGACCGGCCTGTTCCAGAACATTACTTTCTACACTTTTTTTTTTATACCCAGAAATTAACCAATCCACATGGCCGCCCCCCCCCCCAAAAAAAAATCTTGGGAGGCAGGAAACACTAGCAAATAGCTAGGTAGGTACCTTCGGGGGTTTTTGAACCTCAGACCACATGGGAGCAAACCATGGGCCTGCACTTCTAACTAATATATGTAATGCAGACAAATAAAGTATAGTGGAGATCCTGAATGTGATGGGTCAACATCACAAACCTGATATCCACTTCATGCAATGCCACTGAAAATGTGAAATGCCTTTTTTTGGGTGAAATGAGAAGAGTAAACTATCAGAAAACTAGAGAATTTAGCTCTGATCCACAGATGGGGAAAATTGAAGCTTCAGCAAATTGGTTGAAAACTGCTTCAAAATATCAAGTAAATATAGCAACAACAATTGTATAATATGTACTTGATCCATATACACTGTTTCCGTCACCCACCAGGCCTAAATAAGTGTTGAGGCTTATGGTACGCACATGTATGACAGAAGAGAGAGAATGTGGAATAGCAACAAAGAAGCAGTTCTTAAGTCACAGCAACAAGAAGATGATCAAGTCCTTACTGAATGGTCTTCTCTGTTTTGATCTACTAAAACATGAACTGCAATGGTCCCTGACCACCAAAGGAATCTCCATAAAGCTGCTTGCTCAAGTTCAACCACCTGCCTAGAACCTTCATCAACCAAAACTTTTCTGGATATCACTTCCTGGGACAGATACCTAACTTGTCAAATTGGCGAATACACTTTCATATAAAAGAGTATGCATCATGATAGGGGAGTAGGGAAAAAAATAAAAAAACACCCACATAGATCGAATAAAAAGAAAGTCAATTAAATAGTATCACTTGCCTTAATATTCTTGAAAACCCTCTTATTGTCAGGGTCAGTTACAATGTTATATACTGCATCTGGGGGCAACCCAACATTGACCCTCACACTGAGGTTGCAAAGAGAACCTTTTGGTACACTGACCTGTAAAGAGTAAGAATATGTTGTGGCTTAAGGTTAGTAGATACACAGAGAAGCAATAAACTCTTGAGATGCTCCTTCCAAAAGAATGGTGGCATGATATTTGCAATCACTAAAACATTCTTGTTGCTGGCCTAAATTATTTCTCTTAACCAGCATATACTACATAAAGTATCCATGTTAAAGGAACAGAAGCATGGTTTGCTTGCTACACACTAACATTTAGTATATACATGGAGCATTGAGTCAAAAATCAAGACTATACATGTCAGAACCTGATTGATATGAAATATTTATTTTCAAAGGACATGACAAATATTACTTAAAAAATTGAATTAACATTCTTTGACGTCCATTACCAATCACATTTGGCATACAACAAGCTTACAACAGGACAAAGCCAATTTAGTCCCACACCAATGGAAACTAATTCGGTAGAGGGAAGCACATCTCTCACCTTTATATCTGGTGGTTGATCAGCCCATGAAGGATTTTCTCTCCATGCCTGCAACTGCTTCTCCAAATCAACCTCCAAAGATGTAGCCTTTTTAGGGACAGAGATAACTGTTTTCACTCCATCATCTTTTGCCAGTCTCTTGAGCTGCGACTGTTACATTAAAAGGGTATTAAATCCACATATCAAATCAATATCCATAAGAAAATCACAAGCTTTTAGTGAAAATGACTGACCTTTAGACAATTCTGCAGCTTGTGAGGAACCTGCAGAAAAGTTTTAGAAAACACCAGATCAAATGCCTTGAGGTGCCCATTTTTCTCATTCTTGGTGACGTTTACGCTTGTCGTGGTCACCTCTGTCTCGCCCATTAAAACTGGAACTGTTTGGAAACACCAGTTCAATGAACATTTTCATTAATTTCATAACTTGCACATGGGAAAGTAAACATTGACTTGGTTATGTTAGCTTATAATGGTTGCCTACGGTTTAACGAAAATTAGAAAGTAGTTAAAGACAGGCTAAGATGTTTTAAAATCCATTTTTTCTTCTTCTTCATTTAAAAATTAGTGCCTCAAGCCAACAATCAATCAAATAATAACAAAATTCAGTGGCCATTCTATATCCCAAGCTGGTAAACCGAAACACTGAATACATATTTGTGACCAAACTGAATTTGATAAAAACAATTCGCCATCTGCATTGCCCATTAACATTTGTAGCAAAGTCAAGACCTTTAGTAAGGCAAAATCAAGAAAAAGCATGACCCATCTCAAATTCTAGAGAGACAAACAAAAAAACAGAGCACCGAGACGCACATAAACTGGAGAAAGAAAACCCCATAGCACGGGAAATTAAAAGAACCCAGTAATGATAGCTCAAGAAGAATAAACGAGCCACAACTGGACTAGATATTAAGCAGAGAGATAGAATGAAATGAATGGTTCACTTACAGTTACAGAGAAAATCCAATCAGAAGAATATTCATTCCAGTCTCCAATTTATGAAGCTGATCCAAGAATCTGCTGTTTTTAATTCGCTGTTCATTTTTTGAATACTTTTGTTCCAACTTTCAACAGATTTTGGAGAAGAGCAAGCACGTGATGCACATGTAATACGCAGCCAGCACTGAAATTCATCACTCAAGTAATAATCTAATGGTGGCGGTACCTACTCTTTGGGCTGTGGACCCCATGAGCTAAGGCCAAGTGCGACAACAATAATTTGGTGGATGCCTAAATACGGGCCTTTCACATTCGAGGAATGATTTGGTCCAAGATTGTGGATCCCATATAAGCCCTATAAGTCCTTCAAGTTATTTGATCAAAATACAGAGAGTATTTGTGTGATTTCACATTCAATTATATATAAAGTCTCTTGTCACAATTTATTTATGAAACAATCTTGGGCAGAAAGTATTCTCATTCATCATCATGAGAATATGAGATAGCAGAAGGATATCCACCCTCAACATTCATAAGTTCAGAACACAACATCTCCACTCTTTTGGATCACAATTTTACATCATCCCATAAGCTTAAGCCTCTTGACTTATGTAATTAGCATAGCACACACAAACACCTTTGTATAAAGAGTAAACAGCCAGCACAGTTACAAAAACCAGAAACATACTGTAACTCAGATAAATTCTCAAATTTTCCGGCACACATCACCATCACAAATGTATCCCTCCATTGCATTTGGAGCATCAGCTTTTGTTCCTTCCTTGTTACTCAAAGCACATCTTGGGTGGAGATGAAAGTCACATTCTTTGCAGTAAAAAGACCAACCACTTCCCGGCTCCCTACACCAGCAAACATATTCGTGGTGAAGGACCCGTGTGAGCTCATGTTCAGCATGGAGTTCACTCTTCACTTTCTCAGGCCACCCCTTTGCTTCTTCCTCTAACTTTTCTTCCAAATGCTTCAAATGCTCTTCTGTGAATGGATATGCATCAGCTCCATATGCTTGTATGAGCTGCCGTGCTTGGGTTGGACCAATCGATATCGGATAGAGTCCAAAACTTGGGGAACATCGTAATATGGTGGGAGGAGTCATTTGGTGGTTGGATTTTAAATTTGCGCTGCACTAATGCCTTCCTTGGATCACCTAGCGGGAGGGCTAACCAAGGCATGGTCAAAAAGAACTCTTTGAAGGAGGAATGATCACGATCACTTGAAATGAAGATAATTTCAAATGCACTATCCTTTGCCTTAATCTGATTGTATGCTTTTATAAGCTTAGGCATGAAAGCGCGACATGGGGGACACCAATGAGCTGAGAAATAGAGCATAATGTGCTTCCCAGCAAGCTCAGACACCGGTACCTATAGTCAAAGATAGAACAGAAACTTGAAAAACGTAATTAGAAAACCTCTCATTAATGA